CACCACACACACACACACACACACACACACACACACACACACACACACAGAAGCCTTTTTCTCACACACTCTGCTTTTGTTTCTTAAAAGCAAGAGTGACTAGCTTTAATAAACATGCCCTAGGCTAGGTTAGCATGCTATGGTAATGTATGTGATTTATAAATGGATCCACCCATCATTACGTGAATGTATTTTCGCATTTCTTTTCATATGGAAACATGAAGCCCGTAAAAAAAACAACAAAAAAAACCAAAGCCCAACTGCCTTAAATTGTTTACATGTAAATAGCCGTTGGTGTTGCTGGCTGTTTAGAGATGATGATAAAATGGTAATTAGTGTCTGCGAGTCGTTTAGTCATTTGTTTACATAGGGAATTTCCTTTGAATTCTTTCTGAGATTACGCAACAGACAAATTCTCCTGGAAATTGGAAGCTCCAGACACGTCCTCTGCTGAGCTTTGATCTGACACGGTTTCCTTTGGAAACAAGCGTTTCTGGGTGGGATTTAGATCTAGACTGGCCTATTCATTCTCATTAGAGTCACTTGTTGAAGATAGAAAACAAAATATCATATTTCGAGAAATTCAGTCGTCAAAAACCTTCAGATGATTTACACAGCGGAAGAGAGCACTTTCATTAGGGCTATGAATAAACAGGAAGAGAGACGAGCAGAGTAGATGAATAAAGTGTAAAAGAAGTGGATGGGTTTCTACTTGTAGAAGGTAATTTATTGAATAAAGAAACACAGTGAGAGTGTGGAGTGTGGTTGGATCCACACCTGCGCCAGTAAATGCTAGCCTGTTCCCGAGGCAGCCAGCATACCCACAGAAATTTTCATGAGAAGCGTGTGGTTTTGTCAGTGAATGTCCTGAAGCGAAAGGTTATAGTGCCAGATTAAGCCAGTCATCATCCTTGCCCCCGTGCTGATCTGTATAATTGACAGATTTTTGCAGGTTTGCTCTGCCACAAACAAAGACAAAGATCAACACCGGATGTGCATATTACTGATTAAATGAAGACAAACTGATTAAAGACAATGTGACAAGCTATTTACAGCCTATTTTTGTGTAGTGTGAAATATGAATACTGGCCCGTTGTTTCGGAACCTAGCGCGTTTCCCCCCTTAGCTCGGTTCGTTTGGGCATATGTGAACACGGCAATCGCGCTCGGATCCGCGCCAAAACAATCGGTCTGAGATCGCCTGAACGAGGTGGTCTCGGCGAACTCTGGAGCGGTTCGGTTGTAGTGAGAAAGCAATCCGATCTAACAGACCAACGAACCAGGCTATATCACAATGTATAATGGATAATTACGTAAGTTCTGTGAAAAGCATTAGCTTTGTTGTTTTGCTAATACTTCAAAATGAACCTGTGAATGTCTGTGGGTGAGCACGTCTTCGCCATTCAAAATCAAAGCTCACTTTTTCATTTTATAATGCCGTCTTATTGCTCTTCTTCCTAGTAGGTGCATTTTAAAAATGTTTTCCCGATAAATCCTGGACTCCTGCTCAAAGTGATAAATTAATATAACGACATCTACAAATAAAAACAACAATAAGCCCGCGAAGCTGTTGTCGTTCCGTCCTGACAGATGACAGCTGTGACAGCTAAGTGGAATCCCGGAAAATAAACCGTGAAACTTTGACCAACGAGAGAACAGTTTACTCGCGCGTGACTTGTATTGACAAATTTGGTCCGTTTAGAAACATTGCCGTGTGAACCAAGAATAAAAAGCAACATTGTAATAATTTTAATCCCTGTTTCAGAACAAAGCAATCGATCTGCAGGTGTGAAAGCACCCTAAGACTAGAGGATATTTAGTGACAAAAAAGAAGGAATTGATTTTGCATTGAATTTTGTATTCAGTTAAATGGTGAAAAGAGTTACAAACCGGAATGGAGCTAAATGGAACTGCAAAAAAACTACATGGATTTATTTTTATTTATTTATCATGTCAATCTATTCATTAAAGAATCCTGAAGAAAAATGTTTCCACAAAAATATTTAGCAGCACAACTGTTTTCAACATTGATAATAATAAGAAATGTTTTAAAAACATTTTAAAATAGCCGACATTAAAATAGAAAACAGTTATTTTAAATTATTTAATATTTTTATATAATAATTTCATTTGTTTACTTATATGACTTGCAAAAGTGCCTTTTATTAATTAGATTTAGCTAAAAAATAAATAAAAGCTTAAAAATTAAAGTCAATTATTTTGTTGTTTAAGTCACACATTCAGGTTTTAAATTATTTATTGGTTTTTAGCCATGCAATTTTTTTAAATGATTTTTGCCAGTAAATTTATGTTTCTAATGTCATGACATTAAATTCTCTCTCTTTCCCTCTCTGTCTGTCTCCAGGTTTAGTGATGATAAGGGCTATGTCCTGTACCCTCAAATCGGGGATCGCCTGGACCTCATTTGCCCAGCGTCTGAGCCGCCCGGTCCCCGGTCCCCCGCCGAATACGAGTACTATAAACTGTACCTGGTGTCGTCACGGGAACAGGCAGACAGGTGTGAAGTGACCGGAGCCCCCAACCTGCTTCTCACCTGCGATAAGCCCAACAGTGATATGCGTTTCACCATCAAGTTTCAGGAGTACTCACCCAACCTGTGGGGTCACGAATTTAAAACCAATCAGGACTACTTCATCATCGGTGAGTTAGTGCATCAAAGCATGTCTGTCGACATACGATTATTTTGACCAGAAAATTTTAGTTGTGAAAAGTTCTTCTGATGGTAATAGACTTTGTGTGTTCATTCAGCATCTGCCCTTGTTTATTGTTTTAATCTGTGTTAGAAGGGATGGCATGATGGTATTTCATCACTGCATTTCAATTCAATTCAATTCAAGTTTATTTGTATAGCAATTTTCATGATACAAATCAGAAACAGGTAACATGCTTCGTAACTTGGCAATGTTTCTAAGATGGAAAAATGCTGATTTTGTAACATGGGAAAAATGATTTTCAAAAGACAAGTTTCTATCGAATATAACGCCCAGATTTTTGACTGTAGAGGAAGTAACAGTACATGTTGTTGGTTTAGATGCAGTGATAAGTTTATTTAGCTCTTCCTGTCCTATAGTTGTAAAGCACTGCAGTTTATCTTTTGGTGCAATGAATGAAGCTGAAGTATTATACGCTGTAGAATCTACATTTGTTATTGTATTTCTGATGTTATCTATTTTATCAGTGAAGAAATTCATGAAGTCATTACTATTAAACTGTGAGGGAATATTTAGATCGGGTGGCGTCTGGTTATTTGTTAATCTAGCCACTGTGCTAAATTAATTGGATTGGATTGTTTTGGTTATTTTCTATGAGTTTGTGCATATGCTCGGCCCTGGCAGCTTTTAGAGCCTGTCTATAGCTGGCTATAGCAATTTAAATTGGGTTTGTTTTTAGTTCAGGCTAGTCGGTTCTCAACAAAGTCACAATCTTCTGCTGGGATTCGGCTGATTGTGATTTTATCAACTGGAACCATCTATTGGGTTGTTACTGGGGGTTGTTTTTAATACAGTGCACAGTAGCGTGGAGGGAATGAGGCCAACAGAAGCCCGTCAATATCAACATTTCAGAAAGTAGATTTGACACAGGAAAGTGATGTCCTAACATGCTTTGACCCAAAACACGCAATGGGCATGTTTTTAGCATCTATTGCCAGAATTCCCCTAGTCCTAGAATACCTGGAAAAGTATGTGAATTTTAAAAGATTTTCCGATCTGGCAAAGTCACGGAGGTGTAATAAAAATCCTAAAGTCATAGAACTTTATAGTGAATATATGTTTGTTCACTTTAGTTTGGCATCCCTAAATCCTCAGTTGAAGCACACTCAATTTATTATTATTTGTGTGTGTGTGTGTGTGTCTGTGTGTGTGTGTCACTTTTGACACATTTGTACACTGAAAAGTAAAGTTGTTGTCACGAACCCTGAAACTACATTTGCAACAAACAGTTTTACTTACATAATGTGATATGGTTCTAAAAAGTAAAGTTCAACTGGGAAAAAAAGTCTGGACTCAATTTTATTAATCAGGAAATGATTTGCTCATGAAATTGGATGTTAGTACGACCCTGGTGTGTACTGATGAATTACAGTATGCAGAATAATACCATGTGTATTAAGAAAGTAAACAGAGTCAGTTTTTGAATATACACTACTGTTCAAATGTTTGGGGTCAGTAAGATTTTGGTTTTTGAAAGAAGTCTCTTATGCTCACCAAGACTTCATTTATTTGAGCATAAATACAGTTACAACTGTAATATTGTAAAATATTATTACAATTTAAAATAACTGTAATTTAAAATGTAAATGTAAAATGTAATTTATTCCTGTGATTGCAAAGATTACTTTTTTCATCAGCCATTTCTCCAGTCTTCAGTGTCACATGATCCTTCATAAATCATTCTAATATGCTGATTTGGTGCTCAAGAAACATTTCTTATTATGAATCTTGAAAACATATGTGCTGCTTAATGTTTTTGTGGAAATCGTGATACATTTTTTTTTATTAATTTTTTTTAAAAATGACAATATTTATTTGAAATAGAAATCTTTTGTAAAATTATATATATCTTTAATGACAATTTTATCATTGCTGAATAAAAGTAATAATTTCCATAAAAATATGATCTTACCACAAACTTTTGAACAGTAGTGTATTACTTTAAATATATTATTTCCAATTGTTTGTACCTTATGTGTGGAAATCTCTTCTAGCAATATTTATAATATAATTTTTCTAGAAAAATCATGGACAAGTCAAGGAATTTGATAAAGAAAAAGAATAAAACAGAAAGGTTGGCAGAGAAAGAATGGATGAGACCAAAAAGAGAGATGATGGCTTTATAGATGTATCAGATTTTCTTTCACTAGGGTTAGTATCAGTCAAATTGTATTCATACTTTTCAAAACCAGATAATGATTTAAACTCAGGAGATAATAGATCGTTGGTGCTTAGGAGCCCAAGGTTATATTTTTGTGTTTGTTTTTATGACGTGCAAAGTGTGTGTGAAGGTGTGGCGGTGTCTTGTGTCTAATCTTAGCAGTTGCAGGTCTCGTAGACACTGTAACTCTGTGATAAGAATCAAACTCCTTCCACTGGCTCCTTAATGGGCAAACAAGTGTGAGTTTTCTGGTATGTGGACATCAGGAAGTTTCCAAGGCTCTTCCGTGTTCTGTTAAGCCTTAACGTAGGTGTCAGTGACACACACTCACACACACACACACACACACGCTGCAGGCTTTATCGTTACTCCAACAGGCCCCACGAATCGATCGACAGGCTGTGTCAGTCTATGAGTCCTCAAATGCAAGGTCAGAGGCATAAACACACACACACACACGCAGGCTGCGAGATGGAAAAAGAGAGCGAGAGAAACCATCAAACAAGCGTCCATATGGAAAAATGGAGAAAAATGATTTTAAGGGTCATTGAACATTTCATTTAGTGTTTATGTGTGTGCATACGTGTTAAAAAATAGTTGTGTGTGTGTGATTTGGGTGCATTTATACAGCATCTGTCATGACCGGTTGATGTTCTATTTTCCAAAAGAGTGCACATTTGATGGCTTCTGACATCTTTATGCCCATGTGTTGGCACATATGTGTGTGTGTAAGGGTATGTGTACATTAGAGATTTGAACCTTAGGGAGAATGGTATTAATTAACCTACCTTAACATGCGCTAATTTAATCAGCCTAGCTCAAATGAGCTGGAACAGGAATGATTCATGAAATAGAGAGAGAAAGAGAGAGAGAGTGTGTGTGTTTATGTGGAAGAGAGCATTGACAGGTCATTATGGCTGCTCCAATCTCGTTGTCTAATTATCACATGGGTCATGAAGACGCCCTTAGGTCACTAATAACAGTGTTTACACACTCTCATACACGTACACTTAAAGGGACAGTTCACCCCAAAATCAAAATGATCATCATTTGCGTGTCATCATTTACTCACTTTCATGTCCACTTTCATGTTATTTTAGTATTATTGATAGAATAATATTGATATTATTGATTTAGTTTCAAAGTTTAATTCTATATTTTTATTTAAAATTGTTTTAGTAATTGTATGTACTTTTGTCATTTTATTTCTATTTTTAGCTTTAATTTATATTGATTTCAGTTTTAGTTTGACTAATTTTAGTGCTTAAACATTTTATTTCAGTTAGTTTTTTATCTAATATTTATATTTTATTTTATTTCAATTAATTAATGAAATTTTAATAATTGTAATTTTATTCGTTTTAGTTAATAACAATAATACTGCATATGAGTTACCACCCAGCATTGAATGTTTATTTTTAGTGGGGTTTATTTTATATTATATTTTATTATTTTATTATATATTTTTAAACAAAATTGTATAGTATTTTATTATCAGTTATTTACTGGTTATTGGCCATACAATGAAATGTTATCAGTCAGAATTTTAATAACCATGCAACTAATACATAAACAAATTATTTACCATTGACAAAGCTGTCAAAGCTAAAATTTGGAGAATTTTGACTTTAGAATGAAAATAGCACACAATAGCATTATAGACTAGTTTTATGGTGCGTTTTGTCATTTGACAGCCCTGGGTCACCATGTACTTTTGTTGTAAAGCATCTTCTTTTGTGTTAAAGAAAGTAAGTTTGGAATGACATGAGGATGAGTACATGATGACACAATTTTCATTTTGGCTTAGCTATTCCATTAAAGCATGATTTTCCTTGCTTTGCAGTCATTCCTGTATCTATCTTACAGCAGAGTTGCTCGGAAACACACACACACACACACACACACACACTTTGAAAATCCTTATTTGTCCGGGAGAGCAGAAGGAGTTCGTCTGTTTTGTTGGGTAGAGAGCTCTGGGCTTCTTATCGCCGTGGCATTGCTGTGGCAGCGGACACAGACAGATGGCTAACTGTCACTCAAACTGAGAGAAGAGAACTCAAGAGGAAAAGAGGATGAGAGAGTGAGGGAGAGAGGAAGAAAGAACAAGACGGACAGACGGGTTTTACCAGGGTTTACCGTGTTTCTCAGCAGCTCAGACACACACGCAGATGCCAAGAATATCTGTACGGTTATTTTACGACTCTGTGAATCATCATCATTGTGCACGTACGTGTGATGTGCTGAGTGTTTCATGGTGCCATGTTGTTTTGATCCGCATTAATTGCTTGTTTTATGGTGACTGTTTTAAGATTTGAGTGAACAGAGCAACACAAGAAGGACAGAAATAGAAGGTGGGAAAAAGAAGAAAACAGAAAGAAGAGGCGGTCGAAGAGCAAAGGGAGAAAGGGATTCAGAGAGATCTATATTTGATGAATATTTGAACGTTTTAAAGCCTCCAGACTGAAGTTTTCCCTTCTTACTGAGACAGAAGTTAACCACAAACACCAGGGAGAAGAGAAAGGTAAATGAGAGATAGAGAGAGAGAGATTTTTACTCTTAAATTCCCAGCAGCCTGTGTCTTCTGCCAGCTCAAGTTGTTTTTATGGCTCTTGCAATCCGATTGGATCTGAAGAAATTCATTTCGCGGCTTTAGCCAATCAGAACATTTTGGTGCAGACTGATGAGCACAACCATTCCCTGAGTGATGACAGTGATCAGAATAACAATGGCAGTAAGGATTCGAGGAACATCAAGGAAACACACACACA